AGTGGTGAAGGTGCTCGTCGCCTCGTCCCCACCAAGCCCTGCTGCGCAATCACTCGCAATGAGACCGACCACTCCGCCTCCTACGCCGACAGCGTATCAGCGTTTGGTAGGGCTTTTGGATAACGCTGCAGCAGCTAATGGGGCAAATCGGCGAGTCATATCCACAATCGAAAGTATGAGTGCGTGGTACCTTTCGTTTGTACGCTACAGAATTGAATACCGACGTATGTGTCCTCGTGCAGAGCTTCAGACTTATGTGAAGGCATCCACCATGACATCGGAGCCAGTAAAGATCCGCATGAAGCTTTTGTGGATATCAGACCACGACTACAAAGAGCACAAGCTTGTTCGACTGCACTGCATTGACGCAGACTCACCAGAACCGCTTGCAGATCTGGTTGAGGTACGACGCTTTGCCTTTGACTACATCCTAACTATTGGCTTATTTTCCTCAGCTTTTTTATGGCAACTACGAGACAAACCGTGACGCGGTCAACTCGCTTCTGTTGACAGCAACCATGTGGAACATCACGTCGCAGTCGGACGACCTCCCACTTCCAGGGACTATCGTCACTATTAATGCGTACTCGCATCTCAAGCTCTATCGCGACACTGATTGTCAAGCAACTGTCAAGCTGAGAGATCTGGAATGGCAGCAGCAGCCTTAGGATAAGTACGCTTCCGGACAGTTAACATATTGCGTGATAGCAGCATTTACTTAATGTTGAAAATACAATCTTGGCCCTTGCATGTTAAAAACTCCAAGAGGAAAACATGGAACAAATCGTTTTGTCAATCCGTCACCGCCAAAACGCGTCGTTCTGCAAGCTACCACGAAGGTGTCAAGACAGCGAAGGTAAGAGGGCGAACGAGCTCCTAACTGATGGGTATCTAATAGAAACGTATGACAGATGCCAAAGACGCAAGGATCACGCAACTACAGCCTAGATGAGCAGCGACACTTGCTCACAACGATCGCTGAGCGTCTGCTACTGAGTAAATCCGATTGGATTGCCGTCGCTTCCATTTACAATACCACGAAGGACGAGAGTTGGAAAGACCGCACTGCCGCCAGCCTCAAGAGAAAATTCACGGGGATTTACGCGGCTGCGAAACAGCACTCCACCTCTAGTGTGGCAGAACAAGGCGGTCAGAGTGGGCTAGGGCAAATGGCCCTTGAGCTAAAGCGTAGTATGAATTGTCGGGCACGGCACCCGCACAATGCAGACGCACGCGGACCTACCAGGCGCCTACCACCCCCAGCAGCAGACCAACCACGTTCTGGAGATCACCACAGGCCTGAACATGCTGCACCGACTACCTCAGCTGTGCAAATGGAGCCGGCAGTTCAAGATGACACTCCGGTAGACGCAGAAAGCCCGGTAGCGACACTTTCCTTGCGAGTTACTGCTGCAAACGACGGTGTAAGCCTGACAGGAGAACAAGGGCATACTCACTGCGACGTAGTGCAACTATTCTTGTGGTTTCAGCGGCGCGATGAGCAGCAGCTACAGCGATGGAGCGAATTCCAGCACCAACTCCGCGCTGATCTTAGCGAAACGGGCCGCAGACATCAAGAGCTACTAGCACGTATAACTAAGCTCCACGATGCATTGCATGAGCAGCATCCAAGATAGCTCGAAGGTAGCTTTTCGACCCTACAAACCCCTGCTCCCTTCTGTCCTACTCAGCGCTTGCCTCTGCAATATCCAACCGGAAACGAGAGTGGTCAAATATTTTAACAACAGTCCACGGCAAACTTAGAATGGTAGGAACTTTTAGCAATAGTCCACGGATC